CCCTTCTTCTGGTAAGGCAGAAGAGTCAGACAGTGAAAAAACAAAAAAACTCCGCCTGAAATTGTTAAAAAAACTTAATGCTAAAAAGAAGAAGTTGGCTTCATTGGACAGATTAGCAGTGGAACAGATGAAACAGGAAAAGCTTGTGAGTGGAGACGTAAGCACCCCATCGCAGACTGAATCTAAAAATGACAGTGAATTATTGCAGAGCTTTTTTAGGGAGCTGCAGTATCAGATTGATGTCACAGGTAATGAATCTGGATTTAATGCAGATGCTGTGCCAGGCTGCACTGGCCCTGATAACACTGATGAAATACTGGCGGAATTACTGTCCCCTACTTCGACTGTCACTTCCTTGGAGACTGCAAAGAGCGAGGATGAGTGTATGTACATGGAGATGGTGCACAGCAGCATTGCAACCACTGTGCTCCATGAGAGCACCAGTGTGCCACAGGCAGCAGTGACAAGCGAGGACCACAATTACTACAGTCCTGTAAAGGACACTAATTCAGAGATTGATGCAATTAACAAACACAGTGTGAAAAAACTTTCTTTTGAAAGTCCTGTAAGAGATGATATCCTTGAAGATCTGTTCTCCATTTCAGCACCAAGCTCAATGGCAGGTGACATAGATATACCTCATTTTGATGAAACTCTGTTTGGGACTTGGTAAATACTCAGTTTCTTGAGGGGTTTTTTTTCAGTATTATGTATATTTTGAAACAAAGCACTACTGAATTATATTTTATAAGTAGTTTAATTGCACACTGGTTGTACTTGAACAATGTACATTTGGGGGGGGTGGTTTCTTAATATTTAATTGTAACAAGCAAATCAGGGTTTTATGAATTTTATTTTTCCTGAGAAGTTATTTTAGCTGTCAGATATCATGATGATTTTTAATTAAAAGCTCCTATGAGTCTTAATTTTTGCTGCTTTTAATATTAAAAACTTCCATACTCTAGTGAGTTTGAGTTCTGTAGTCTTGATGGTGTAATAGTGTAAGAAATACTTTTTTTGTAGTAGTGATTTTCCACTCAACTCCTGAAGTTATTTTGTCCAACATTTAAAAAAAAATGAAGTACCTTCTGTAATTTGGGAATTTTGCATCTCCTTATTCGAAGATCATTTGTAGCATTATAAACTTTAGGCTGACGTTCAATTCCTTACAGAATTACTGTTCTACAGGCTCATGCTGATATATACACCCCTTGGATCCAAGAAACAGTGGATATATGGTAGAAATTGTTCTATTTAAAGTTACAGCACCTACTGAGTTTTCATCCTGAGCAAATGCAAATATAACTTGGTAAAATATCGTCTGAGCAAGGTTTTTTTTTGAAGTAGAATTAGCAAGATTCAGTCCAGGGTTTGCATCACTAAGAAAGAATATCAGATGTACCCGTTAGTTTTTCATAGCTGCAAAAACATTTAATAAAAGAAAGGTTTCTTAGAATTAATTTAACTGTAAGTTAATGCCTATTACTGTTGTCACTTGGAGTTTTTCGTTACTCAGGCAGTGCACTCCTGACCGTATGTGAGATGCCAAGGAGAGGCAAAGGTCAGAAGGAAGAAAGTAATGGAAAAATATGGCAAGACAGCAGTAAGCAGGGGGATTCACACCTCGGTTTCTGGGTTTGTACAGATCTAATTTTGCTATATTGGAGTCTTTTTAAAATGCATAGACACAAAGCTGAGGGTATTATATGCCAAGTTAGATTAGCTGTACATTTTTCTTGTTCTTGGAAATAAGGATTTTATCAGCAAGTTTTTATATCAGGTATTTTTAGAAGCATCTCCGTTTTTTCATTGTTCCAGTTCCCAAGTTCAGAACATTAAATGCTCAGTCTTAGTTTTCCAGAAGATGCAGTTGAACATAATGTTATTATAAGGCATGGCTACAGATTCTAATGGTTTTGAATTGTTTGAACTAGGTTTAAAAAGTGTTTGAAAACTATCAGTGGCCCTGAACTCACCGTGTCAACTTATTTCTGCTGCAATTGGGTACATTGTTATCAAACTGGTACTTCAGGCAGTGAATGTTTTAATTTTTGAAATTTAAGTTATTGTGAAGAACTTGAGCTTCTTCTTTGTTTTAAATACTGTGATTGGTAATGTTACAATACAAAACACAAAATACAAGTGAGAATGGATTCTGAATGTTAAGGGCTGGTGTACTGCTTGTGAAATGTTTGCCTGTTTGTGAATTCCCTAATTAAAACAAACAAACAAACAAAAAAAGCTGACCAAAATGAGTTTGATTTATCCATGAATGGGTTGCAATGATCAGCTGTGACATGGGAGCTCCTTCACCAGTGGCTTAGGACACAACACAGACTTGGGGTGAGTAAAGCGGCGAGCCCAGGGCTGGTGATGAAGAATACACAGGGCAACAGGAGGAAGAGACTCTGCTAGAGGATGAGGAGGTCCTGGTGGCCCTGGTGGAGAGGTTTATAATGAGATTCGTGGCAGAGGAGGGAGGGTGTGGGGGCACACGTCCACACCTAGACAGAAGCAAAGGGCCTCGGGTCACCACTGGCACCCCCTCCACAAACTGAAGTTGGGAGTGTGTGGTCTGCAGCTGCGTGGGATTCAGTGTGGGTACAGGTGTATACTAAACTCTAAGAGCAAACAAATAGCTCTTGAGATTAAAGTAGGTATGAAAATAAATCTGTTGGTGCTGCATGCTCCTGGCTGCCTTTTATTCTGAAACAGAAAACTGAAGATGATTGAGTGCAGATTTGTTTCCATAAATGTTTTACTGCCTCTGATCCTGTGCAAGTGAGAACTCATCTGAGACTGAATGAAAACCCCATGACCAAAGAAACTGGTTGGAATTTGAAGTGTTACTTGGCCTTCTATATTGAGTAATTTTTAAATGCAGCTCTTAATTTGCCATGAATAGAATACAAAGTATTTGTAGTAGTTTTCTGTCAATTGGAAATACACCAGGTGGACATATAGCAAGTACAGGTAGTGATCAGAAGCTGGCCAGTGTACTATGGAGGTTTTATCAGTGTTCTAGGGTAAATTTCCCAAAGTCTAATGGCTTTGAGCACTGCCATCTTCACCACTACACCATGTCCCCAAATGCCACATCTGCATTTTTTTAACAGTTCCTGGGATGGTGACTCCACCATTTCCCTGGGCGGTCTTTTCCAATTCCTAACTATCTTTTCAGAGAGGAGATTTTTCCTAACATCCAGTCTAACCTCCCATGGCACAACTTGAAACCATTTCCTCTCATCCTGTCTCTTATTACCTAGGAGAAAAGACCTGTCCCCCCCTGGCTACATTCTCCTTTTAAGTAGTTGTGCAGAGCAGTAAGGTCCCCCCTGAGCCTCCTTTTCTCCAGGCTAAACACCCTCAGCTGCTCCTCACAGGACTTGTGCTCCAGACCCTTCCCCAGTTCTGTTGCCCTTCTCTGGAAATGCTCCAGCCCCTCAATGTCCTTCTTATAGTGAGGGGCCCAGAACTGGACACAGAACTTGAGGTGTGTTCTCACCATTGCCCAGTAAAGGGGGACAGTTACTGCCCTGCTCCTGCTGGCCACACTAGTCCTGGTACAGGCCAGGATGCCATTGGCCTTTTTGGCCACCTGGGCACAGCTGGCTCATGTCTTGCTGCTGTTTGCCAGCACTCCCAGGTCCTTTTCCACTGAGCAGCTTTCCAGCCACTGCCTTCAGTCTGTAGCTCTGCAGAAATGGTGCTGTGATTCAGATCTTAGTACTTGAGTGATGACACATTCAAACATTTGTTATAACACAGTAAAGGGTGAAAACCAGGGCTGCCTTCTTGCGTCCTGCCTACAATGAACCAACACATCTGCAAAGGAGCTGCCTGGATGGATTTCTAGCTGTATGCCTGCTAGAACACTGTTCAAGAAACCCACTGTAGTGCAGATTAAAAATCTGATTTTGATCTTAGTGTTTTTCATGGCTGGCTATTGCCATTTATTCTTCCATTTCAGCTTTTTGCTTTAAGTAATTTTTCCCACCCTGACAATGTATCAGCAAGAGCCATTG